ACACTTTTTCTTATTAATTTTGGTGCGTAGAATTCAAAACAATTCGTACTTTTTCGATCAGACTTCTCAATCAAAAGTTATAGACTAGAAACAATTTCGAAAGAAAATTCAAAGGGCTGTAACTTTTGAACTAGTAGCCCAATCTTGGAACTGTTTGAAATTATGGATCCTACAGGCCACATTCTATAAGAAAATTTTTTTCCGGGGCGATCTGAGACAATTTTTTTTGTGGGGCTCAAAAAAAGACAGTGTACCTACAACCTTCCTTTTTTTACCAAAAAAATACTACACCAAAATTTCTCGAGAAAACACTTTTTCTTATTAATATGGGTGCGTAGAATCCAAATCAATTCGTACTTTTTCGATCAGACTTCTCAATCAAAAGTTATAGACTCGAAAACAATTTCAAAAAAAAATTCAAAGGGCTGTAACTTTTGAACTAGTAGCCCAATCTTGGAAATGTTTGAAATTATGGATTCTACAGTAAAGTATTTGAATACTTTTCAATGTATCTGTATCTAGTATTCGCTTGTGCTGGACGTAAAAGTATTTAGTATTCAAATACCTTTGATTTGTCTATTTGAAAGTATTCTGCCCAGCTCTGGACGTTTGGCTCTAGGTCGACAGACAAAAATCCAACGCCGAGAAAACCCACCCTCTGGTAAATTAGCTCCAAGACTATTCGCCTGCGTGTGTTTTTGTTTGTTTTCTACATTTTCTCAGGCTTTCGTGTAATCCGAAAATAGCGCCCTACTAACATTCAAATTAATAATTTGCTCCCCGCTCCGAGGAGATTCGCTACCAAGAAAAATATGCCATCGCAGAAATATTCTCACAGGGATTTCTTCCCAAGAAAAATTCCCGTTGAGCGAAACTGAATTTCATTCGTTCGGAAAGTGTTACATCCAAAATGGTGAATTCTGAATTTTGAAAAAGCCCTAGAAGAATTTTGAAACTTTGGTTCGGGATGCTGTACAGTAAATCACTTACGAAAATCCCCGAAATTTGCATATAGGAGACGCCATGATTTCTCGATGATTCATTTGTATAAATCCACCACCGCAAACTTGGCTGAGAAAGTCCTTCACTGTCATTACTCACGACTTCTAAAATGAAACGTTTTTTTATTGATTAGGTTTTAACCGGGATTGGAATTAGTACAATGAAGCAATGCAGCCATGAGTTCAGACTAATCTGATAATTACTCTTACATAAACGATGCAGTTTATGGTGCGAGTTACCTACTAAACTGGCACAATATTGTGCAGGGGGTCATGCAGAAAATAAAAGCACCATATAGGTATTATATCACATATTTTTCACAACGAAAGTGTGCCAATGTGGGAATTTGGAAAAATTGTCACGACAAGGTAATTTGCATTATCGCTCATGGTGATTTAAAATCAATTTGTTAAAATAGGACTCGTTAATCATATTGTTTTTAGTTTTGACACCTCAAATTTTGATTTATGGGTCGACGTAATCAGAAATCTAACAGTGGCATTTTTGCTTGCAGTTTTACAAGCCCGCAACGCCAACGTCGAAAATGGTAACGGTGAATTGGAATCGTTACCAAGCTACACCATAGTTTCCGGTCTTCCAAGCTACGCCGAGGCGCTCGAGCAGCTCAAGAAAGTTAAGGAGCAGAGCGCCCCGAGGATCGACGGCGCCGGCCCATGGACGCCGCACACTCCGCCGACCCCATCCCCAATGTCCAGGCTATCCGTAGCCGAACTGTTTCAAATATACAAGACTCCCAACTTGAATTTGGCAGTCAAAAATTAAAGAATCGGAAACAAATAACGATGTGCCAAAGTTCTGCAATGCATCGGGCATCAAACGAAGTACAAAGGTTTCAACATGTGCCTATTAGGTAATTAATTAAGGACAAAATGGCTGTGCTAGGTAATTCTTTTTCTAACGAGTAGCGGGTACGAAGATAGAACTGATCGATTTATTTGAGTTTGTGATAATTTAACTGCGTGTATGACGCTGGTCGTTTATAACTCCTTAGATATAATGCATTAAAAAATGTTAATATTTATTTTCAAATAAATGAAAGTTTTTTTTGTACATTTTGCGTAAGTACTTATTTTTCCTTAGCAAATTGTAATAAACGCAGTCACAAGACTGAGAAACACATGTCCGTTTCCAGGATATCAAATTGTACTTTATCTCCAATTGTCTTATATTTTACGCTCCGCGTAATGGTAATTACGCTAAATTTGAAATGATCATAATTAATGTTTGATATTATATTTTGGTACCTGCGTCAGTGGATGATTGAGGTAAACAATTAACTTGTTATTGATGGCCTTAAATTAATTCAAATCTTGTGATTAAAATTACATATCCTAATTTGTTTGGTAGCTGCAATTGTAAACCATGACCTATGTTATTTTGAGGATATTTTTAGAACCTTTGAATCGTTAAAAATGTTCTTAAGTCCTTATA